GATTTCCAGAATGCTTTAATATATCATACAGCGTACTATTACTCGTAGCTTGACATTTCAAAAAGTAGTAGATAGAGTACCTAAGATCTTTTTTAAAAGCATCTCAATTATTTATTAAGATTAATGGAGATGCATGTACAGCTTAAGAACAAAATTGCAATTACTTATTATATCTAAATTTATGATTGCACCGAATTTGAAGGCTGAATAATCACAAGCTAAGGACCACAACTTAAAAGTGTAGGGCATATTGTATTAACAGTTGATCATATAAATAATTAGGGAACAGCATAAGTAGTGGTTGAGCTCAAGAACTTACAAAGGTACCCAGATTCAAGCCCTTGTCCTGCCACCTCAGAACAGAATCTCAGTTTTCTACTCCATAAAATGGGCATAACAATTCCTGTGGGTTGTTTTGTGTGTGAGAGAATCAAATAAAATAATCCACGTAATCACAATATATGCACATAGTAAATACTTAGTATTTGGTGGCTATTCTTTTTAGTAACATTCATGATAAAAGCAAAACATAGAAAGAGTGTCTCTAGACATGCAAATTAAACCAACTTGAGGGACTGGTGGGTGATAAATAAATAATGTATTCTGAATTAGTGGACAAGGAAACAGCCTAAATGTCCATTGACAGATGACTGGATAAAGAATCTGTAGTATATTTATGCAACGGAATACTACTCATCCATAAAAAAGAATAAAATAATGCCATTAGCAGCAACATGGATGGACCTGGAGAATGTCATTCTAAGTGAAATAAGCCAGAAAGAGAAAGAAAAATACCATATATAACTCATATGTGGAATATGAAAGAAAAAAGAGACAAAGGAACTTATTTACAAAACAGAAGCAGACTCAGAGACATAGAAAACAAACTTATGGTTACAGTGGGGAAGGGGTGGGAAGGGATAAATTGGGAGTACGAGATTTGCAGATACTACTATATATAAAATAGATAAACAACAAGTTTATACTGTATAGCACAGGGAATTATATTCAGTATCTTGTAGTAACTTATGGTGAAAAACAATATGAAAACGAATATATGCATGTTTATGAACGACTGAAGTACTGTGCTGTACATCAGAAACTGACATAACATTGTAAACTGACTATACTTCAATAAAAATATATAATTTTTTAAAAATCTTAGCTAAAAATGTTCACTGATTTTCAAATAGGAGTCATTTTGATAAAGAAAGTTCCAAGCAACCTTATGGCTCTTACCTAGCCTTAGAAATTGTTTATGCAAAGATTACCAATTACCTCCAGAGGACAACCCAGTGGACCTTTATAATCTTGATGCTGCCTGACTGTGATGTGGCGTTTACTACACTATTTCTACAACACTGCTACTTGCTCCAGCTCTGCTTGTCTCAGTCTTCTAGTAATCCCCTATCCTTATTATTTCTCAGGATTTTGCTTTCTGCCTGCATTTTATTATTAATACTCCCCCAGGGAAATCTTAACTGTGCCAATCACTCTGACTTACGTCTATATCATGAGAAATCCTGAATACATAACTCCTGTTCCTAAACCCCAAATTCACATTCCTAATTTTCTTTGGATCTCTATATCTAGCACACTGGCACTAAGCGAAAGAAAGTTTCCTCCCATTATAGTTAATGGTGAGTTTTTTACTGAGTATATTGTTATGGAATTATCATACTTTGAGGAAAGAGGGTCAACACCACAGTCCTAACAATCAGCCATCAGTAAAGCAGTCTCTCAGATAAGAAACCAGGACTCCAAAGGAAGAGTCAATTTGAAATTTTCTCTGATCCTTGAACCAAAAAAAAAGAAAAGGGCAATATTACCAAGAACCAGTTCTGAAGTGGCAGAAATCACAACAGGGTCCACCAGGTGAAAATAACTTAGCAGCTGGAAAGGCAAGATATCAGGAAAAATTTCAGAGAGGGTGCACTTGACTTCTATGACTGTAGCTGTCCTAGAAAACAAGATATATATTGAGGCAAAAATCTAAGACTTGGGAACAAGTTAGCTAGAATGGAGTCAAAAACCCATTCTTTTTAGTATCAATTCATAAATTCTCTTTTTTTTTTCCAGGCAAAGTAGAAGCAATATATTTTGCAGCATTTTTTCCTTCCAACCAATGACTTGTCAATTCTCCCACCTCCTGTTAAACACGTAAATGAAGCAGCCTCCAAAATTTAACTTTTACACTTAAGACTCAGTATCTGTCATACTCACACTCTACATTAAGGTTACAAACAACACATGTCCCTCGTATTAAATATCTGAATGAAAAGTTTCCTCCTCATCGTGTGAACAAACCTTTGCATCTGTTAAAATCTGGTTCTGAGCTACACATAACATATACAGTAACTCAACTCTGAGTGAATCCATTGATATATTCAGTACGTTAACAAATTAAAATGTACCCAATTTTACCCATATTTCATTTTTACATGTATTTCAAAATGGGCCTTCCCTACCTTCTTCTTAGGTAGGAAAGTAATTAAAGGTTAATTGGACACCTATAGAACTTTAGTCAACTACTTAAATGAGAAAAATAGCTCTAATTTTTAAGATTTCTAATGGCTACAGTGTGGTTTCAGTCGGACCAAATTCAGGCAAGACAGCCTCAATTCATGCTGACACGTGGAAACCACAGAGATAATGATTAATCTAACAAAAGGGCAAGTTTGGCGGCTTCGTGTTACCGAGAAGCCATTCTAAGCACTACTTCTCTGTGGCAGCATTGTGACTGTGCCCTCCACCGCCTACAAACATCCTTTGAGGGGTGGAAGATCTTCAGCTGTGGTGCATCCAATTGACTCCATCTTTGACATCTTTAAAGCTTGGAATACTTGAAACAGCAGGTGAACACCAACATCTT